GCATTACAGGCCTACCTCAAGAAACAAGTCAAATAAATAACCTAACTCTACACCTAAAGCAACTAGAGAAGGAAGAAATGAAGAACCCCAGGGTTAGTAGAAGGAAAGAAATCTTAAAAATTAGGGCAGAAATAAATGCAAAAGAAACTAAAGAGACCATAGCAAAAATCAACAAAGCTAAAGCTGGTTTTTTGAAAAAATAAACAAAATTGACAAACCATTAGCAAGACTCATTAAGAAACAAAGGGAGAAGAACCAAATTAACAAAATTAGAAACGAAAATGGAGAGATCACAACAGACAACACTGAAATACAAAGGATCATAAGAGACTACTACCAGCAGCTCTATGCCAATAAAATGGACAACTTGGAAGAAATGGACAAGTTCTTAGAAAAGTATAACTTTCCAAAACTGAACCAGGAAGAAATAGAAGATCTTAACAAACCCATCACAAGCAATGAAATCGAAACTGTAATCAGAAATCTTCCAGCAAACAAAAGCCCAGGACCAGATGGCTTCACAGCTGAATTCTACCAAAAATTTAGAGAAGAGCTAACACCTATCTTACTCAAACTCTTCCAGAAAATCGCAGAAGAAGGTAAACTTCCAAACTCATTCTATGAGGCCACCATCACCCTAATTCCAAAACCAGACAAAGATGCCACAAAAAAAGAAAACTACAGGCCAATATCACTGATGAACATAGATGCAAAAATCCTTAACAAAATTCTAGCAAACAGAATCCAACAACATATTAAAAAAATCGTACATCAGAGGGATCGGGTGGAGAGGGAGGTGGGAGGGGGGATTGGGATGGGGAATGCATGTAAATCCATGGCTGATTCATGTCAATGTATGACAAAAACCACTACAATATTGTAAAGTAATTAGCCTCCAACCAATAAAAATAAGTGAAAAAAAAAATCATGCATCATGACCAAGTGGGCTTTATCCCAGGAATGCAAGGATTCTTTAATATCCACAAGTCAATCAATGTAATACACCACATTAACAAATTGAAAGATAAAAACCATATGATTATCTCAATAGATGCAGAAAAAGCCTTTGACAAAATTCAACATCCATTTATGATTAAAACTCTCCAGAAAGCAGGAATAGAAGGAACATACCTCAACATAATAAAAGCTATATATGACAAACCCACAGCAAGCATTACCCTCAATGGTGAAAAATTGAAAGCATTTCCCCTGAAATCAGGAACAAGACAAGGGTGCCCACTCTCACCACTACTATTCAACATAGTTTTGGAAGTGTTGGCCACAGCAATCAGGGCAGAAAAAGAAGTAAAAGGAATCCAGATAGGAAAAGAAGAAGTGAAAGTCTCTCTGTTTGCAGATGACATGATCCTCTACATAGAAAACCCTAAAGACTCCACCAGAAAATTACTAGAGCTAATCAACAAATACAGTAAAGTTGCAGGATATAAAGTTAACACACAGAAATCTCTTGCATTCCTATACACTAACAATGAGAAAACAGAAAGAGAAATTAAGGAAACAATACCATTCACCACTGCAACAAAAAGAATAAAATACTTAGGAGTGTATCTACCTAAAGAAACAAAAGACCTATACATAGAAAACTCTAAAACACTGATGAAAGAAATCAAAGAGGAGACAAACAGATGGAGAAATATACCGTGTTCATGGATTGGAAGAATCAATATTGTCAAAATGGCTATACTACCCAAAGCAATCTATAGATTCAAGGCAATCCCTATCAAACTACCAACGGTATTTTTCACAGAAGTAAAACAAATAATTTCACAATTTGTATGGAAATACAAAAACCTCGAATAGCCAAAGTAACCTTGAGAAAGAAGAATGGAACTGGAGGAATTAACCTGCCTGACTCCAGACTATACTACAAAGCCACAGTCATCAAGACAGTATGGTACTGGCACAAAGACAGAAATATAGATCAATGGAACAGAATAGAAAGCCCAGAGATAAATCCACGAACCTATGGTCACCTTATCTTCGACAAAGGAGGCAAGGATATACAATGGAAAAAAGACAACCTCTTTAACAAGTGGTGCTGGGAAAACTGGTCAACCAGCTGTAAAAGAATGAAACTAGAACACTTTCTAACACCATACACAAAAATAAACTCAAAATGGATTAAAGATCTAAATGTAAGACCAGAAACTATAAAACTCCTAGAGGAGAACATAGGCAAAACACTCTCCGACATAAATCACAGCAGGATCCTCTATGACCCACATCCCAGAATTTTAGAAACAAAAGCAAAAATAAACAAATGGGACCTAATGAAACTTAAAAGCTTTTGCACAACAAAGGAAACTATAAGCAAGGTGAAAAGACAACCCTCAGATTGGGAGACGATAATAGCAAACGAAGCAACAGACAAAGGATTAATCTCAAAAATATACAAGCAACTCCTCCAGCTCAACTCCAGAAAAATAAATGACCCAATCAAAAAATGGGCCAAAGAACTGAACAGACATTTCTCCAAGGAAGACATACAGATGGCTAACAAACACATGAAAAGATGCTCAACATCACTCATTATCAGAGAAATGCAAATCAAAACCACAATGAGGTACCATTACACACCAGTCAGGATGGCTGCTATCCAAAAGTCTACAAGCAATAAATGCTGGAGAGGGTGTGGAGAAAAGGGAACCCTCTTACACTGTTGGTGGGAATGCAAATTAGTACAGCCACTATGGAAAACAGTGTGGAGATTTCTTAAAAAGCTGGAAATAGAACTGCCATATGACCCAGCAATCCCACTTCTGGGCACACACACCAAGGAAACCAGATCTGAAAGAGACATGTGCACCCCAATGTTCATCGCAGCACTGTTTATAATAGCCAGGACATGGAAGCAACCTAGATGCCCATCAGCAGATGAATGGATGAGGAAGCTGTGGTACATATACACCATGGAATATTACTCAGGCATTAAAAAGAATTCATTTGAATCAGTTCTAATGAGATGGATGAAACTGGAGCCCATTATACAGAGTGAAGTAAGCCAGAAAGATAAAGACCATTATAGTATACTAACACATATATATGGAATTTAGAAAGATGGTAACGATGACCCTATATGCAAAACAGAAAAAGAGACTCAGATGTATAGAACAGACTTGTGGACTCTGTGGGAGAAGGCGAGGGTGGGACGTTTCAAGAGAACAGCATCGAAACATGTATATTATCTAGGGTGAAACAGATCACCAGCCCAGGTTGGATGCATGAGACAAGTGCTCGGGCCTGGTGCACTGGGAAGACCCAGAGGGATCGGGTGGAGAGGGAGGTGGGAGGGGGGACCGGGATGGGGAATACATGTAAATCCATGGCTAATTCATTTCAATGTATGACAAAAACCACTGCAATGTTGTAAAGTAATTAGCCTCCAACTAATAAAAATAAATGGGGAAAAAAAAAAAAAGGAGGAAGAGGAACTTTCCAGTGGAGATCCCTAGAAGACATCACTTTAACCAACTACTCTCAATGATCTCCTATTTGGAGACTGGGGCCTCAGTGAAATTCTCAAAAGAATTTAAAATCTTTTGCCCTATGATAGAGCAATGAGAAGAGCGCGGCATCACTTGTGTGATATTCTTGCCAAAGTTGTAGAACCTGAATCTAAGTGTGAGAAAACTCAAATTCAAAGTGAGGAACATTCTACAGAATAATCAGCCAGTATTCAAGAAAAAAAAAAAAAAAGAAACCTGTCAAGGTCATGAAAGTGAAGGAAATACTGAGGAAAGAGTCCATATTGAAGTAGATTAAGGAGACGTGACAACTAAATGCAACACTTGATTTGAAAGTACTCTTTTTGCTATAAAGACTATTTTGGGGACAAGTGACAAGAACTTGAACTGGTCTGAGGATCCAATGACAATTAATGAAAACTTCCTAGAGTCTGAGGATAGGATAATAGTAATGTATCAACATTAAGCTCCTGGTTTTGTGGTTGTGTGGGAGATATATTGTGTATGGGAAATGCACCCTCAAGTATTTATGGAAGATGAGGCATCTCTTTGGCAGCTTACTCTCAAAGGGTTCAAGACAAATACATTATAGAATTTTTTGTACTGTATTATACTGGCAACTTTTCTGTAAGTTTGAGATTTTTCAAAATAATATATCTATATCTGTATCTAGTGATGTAGGTTGGAATTATACTGTTTTCCAGCCTTGCCAGGACACAGGTGCCTAGGGCCTGCCTTGGGAGGACAGAACTTGGAGTGGCTGCCCCAGGAGTGGAATCAGGGTGTGTCTGCCAAGTGCTGGTTCTCTGCTGAGGTGCAGAGATGGACATTCTCACCCAAGTCATTTAGTAAAGAATGGACATCCAGATTCTCGAGTAACTAGACAGAGAGAACATAGTTTCTGTAGGACACAGGCCAGCCACTTGACTTATCTGATGATGGGCTTTCTGTCAGAACCAAGGAAGTGGAAGCACTGAATGCCCCCTTGCCCTGTCCAAACGTCTGCAGGATACCTTAGGGCCAGTTCTCCAATGTCCATCTGGAACATGGATTGTGCAGGGGACCCCATGTTCTTTTGAGACTTGGCCTAAAGTGCTGATAGTAACCACTACTGCCTACTGTATACCTTCTAAGAGTCAGAAACTGGGACAGATGCTTCACCAGGTTCTTTTTATAATCATTACAATGGTTCTCCTTGTTAAGTAAATTGTCCCCATCTTGTAAATGAGGAAGTAAGGCGTGGGAAGTCTTAGTAACAGCCTCAACATTATGGGTTGAATTGTATCCCCCGCCCCCAGATTCATATGCTGAAGTCCCATATCTCAGAGTGTGGCTGGATTTGGAGATAGGGCCCTGAGAGAGGTGACTGAGTTAAAGAGAGACCAACTAATGGCCGTCTCTCTTAAGAAGATGAAATTTGGACATACAGAGAGAGACACTCTCCTTAAAGAGGAATGGCCACGTGAGGACACAGCAAAAAGATGGCTGTCTACAAGCCAAGGTGAATGGCCTCACCCTGATGTTGGACTTCGGGCTCCAGAGCTACGACAAAATGCATTTCTGTTGTTTAAGCCATGCAGACTGTGGTACTGTGACGGCAGTCCCAGTAGACTCTCGGGGGGGCATCTGGGGGAGGATGAAGTTGGTGTTCAAAGTCAAATCAGTGCAGTTCTGTTCTCTGCCACCTTCCCACACACAGGACCTCTGCTGTGTAACTTCTCCCCACCTCCCCCAACAGGCTGCCCAGAACCTCCACCTGGAATCTCCCAGACCGAGTGGATCCCTCCTCTGCCATCCCACAGCCCTTACTGCACTGCATATATTGGAGCTCATGATCTTGTGATCAAATCGAGGGTAGGGCTCCTCTTATCTTTACCCCTGGCATCTCCCATGGAGCCAGTTAGTATGTATTGAACACTCATGAGCCAGCAAAGATTTCATATGTGTTATCTCATTTATACCTTAAAACAACTTCTTAAGGTAGGTATCACCAACTGTTCCCATTTTACACGTCAAAAAACTGAGGTCAGAGGTGTTACCTGAATTACCCCAGACATAAAGCTGAAGCTCCAATACTTTGGTCACCTAATGCAAAGAGCCATCTCATTGGAAAAGACCCTGATGCTGGGAAAGATTAAAGACAGGAGGAGAAGGGGCAACAGAGGATGAGATGGTTGGATGGCGCCAATGACTCAATGCATGTGAGTCTGAGCAAACTCCAGGAGATAGTGAAGGACCGGAAAGCCTGGTGTGCTGCTGTCCACAGGGTCACAGAGAGTCGGACACGACCTAGTGACTGAACAACAACAACAGAGCCAGTGGGTGGCGGAGCCAGGAGTCACCACTGGATGGTCTAGTTCTTCAGTCTGTGCCCTTCACCTCCTGCCCCGCTGCTGTGGTCTTGCTGTAAATGTACACTCCCTCCCTACCCGGGGGCTGTGCTGATCTGAAACCCCTCCTTAAGCATGCTAAGCCCAAGTGTGAAGCTCCCTGCCCATGGAGAGCTTTCTCACTCATGCCCCCTCCCCCAGCCCCCACCCTGCCTGCTTCAGCACCCGCTGGGCACGGGGTCTGCACCTCACACTGACGTGTGGGCACTGGGGCCACCTCTTATCACTGAACTGGCTTCAGTGTCCAGGGATGGAAGTGGACAAGGATACATGACACGGTGGTGTATTGTCCTGGGAACCGTGACTCTCCATCTCTGGATTATCCCAGAGAGTTCCAGTTGCTAAAATTCTATCCTCTCATCAGACCATTTGCTGGAATATGCGACAGAGAGTGTAGTCTGGCATTTGGTTTAGAAAGTAGAGTCACCATTCTCCTGAAAAGAGGCAGGAATGGAGACAAGATGAGCTGTCTGTCACTTTCTTACACACTGCTGGGCAGGTCACAATTTCTCTGCACCTAAGTGCCTCTGTGGGTAAAATGGTAATGGAAATGCCTATTTCTACCACAGAAATGGGACAAAACACGTGAATGTGTTTTGAATACTGATGAAGAATAATGTTATAGAAACCCAGTCACCATCAGTGGGATTACTTACATTTCGACTGACCAGCTTGGCCAGTGAAAAATGAAATTAAAAAGTAGTTTTTACTTTTGAAACTCAAGGAAGTGGTATCCATGAAGAATGCAGAAAAAAATCAAACATAGAGAAAGTAAATGACCCGAGGCCTTTCTAGAGTGTTGAAAATATTCCTAGGTTCTCCTGAACAAGTTGATGTGTGTGTGTGTGTGTGTGTGTGTGTGTGTGAGAGAGAGAGAGAGAGAGAGAGTGTGTGTGTGTGTGGTGAATGGTAGGGGTGGGGCGGGGGCTGGGCTAGGGGAGTCAGGGACAGAGTTTTCTCCAATTGCCTGAGACGCAGTCCTCTGGAGGAGGCAGGCCTCTTACCTTTGCTGCACTGTGGATCAGTTTCCAGGCGTGTGAGGCCTCCGGGTGAAGTCCATTTGGGAGCTGGGTTTTTCTGACTCAGCAGTAGCCCGGGAAAATTTCCTTGCCCCGTCTTCCAGACATGCATGAGATCCACTCCACCTGGGACTGAATCAGCGTACCCCTGCCCCTGCTGCAGGCTGTGTGCAGAGCTGAGCCATAAGCCCGAGAGCAGCCTCTGGGGAGCTTCCAGGGAGAGTGGCTCCCACTGAGCGTCAGCGACGTGTCTGTTCTGGTTTGGATGGGCTGAGGCTCCCTGCAACTTCCTTCTGCTCTTGCCAGAGCCGGGGTCCTTTTGTTCACCTTTAGGGCTGCCAAGTCAGGCCTACCGCACCCCTGGATGTTGTTTTCCTGCAGGCAATGGGAAAATGAGCTTGGAGCCAGGGAAGGGAAATCAACAAGGAAATAAACACAGGGTCATTACCTCTCCAGGTCATCACCGGGCTGGGACATCATCACCCTGGGATCACTTCCTAAAGAGGCAGGAGCTGGCCGCTGCCTGAAAGGGCCCCAGACATTTTTTAATTGTGCCAGGCATTTAAAAAATTTTAAATATGCAAAGAAGTGTGCATTTCTATCAGAAGTGTGAAATCTATGTTGGACCAATCAAGCAATCCTGACTCACTCCAATGCCTTGCCAAATCTTTCAGAGATTTTTCCATAGGCAGCATCTCTTGTAACCAAACACTGGGCAACATCTGTAGCCAAAGGAAAAGAATGAGCAAGTTTATGGCTGACACAAGCCGAGACTTTTAAAGACAAAGGTAAGACTTTCAAAGACATCCTCTAAAGATAGAGGATTATTGTTTGAATAAAGTTTTCTTCTGCTTACTCATCAATGGCATCATCTTTGCCAGCATTTATTGAGAGCTTATGGTCTGCCAGGTGCTGTGCTAATGACCTCAACCTGTGTTATTTCATTTAATTCTCAACATAATTCTATCATTCTCATTCCCATTTTGTAAATGAAGAAAATGAGGATTAGAGAGATTAAGACACTCCGGCGCAGTGACCCCACTAGTTAAAAATGTAGAAATTGCCTTTCTGGAAGGATGCTCTTCTGAGTCTTGCTTTTTCCAACAGTCAGCTTAAGCACTTTGGTGGGCTGACAGCTCCTGTGATAGCCAAAGATTTGCTTAAATAAACTCTTAGGTCTGGGAATAGAATTCTAAACAGAACCATGGCTCATCGGTTAGTTAAATGATCTCTTCCAGGAGTTACGAAGTGGTGCTACCTTTATGCGACTTGTACATAGGACACACCTAGCCTGTCACCCTCTCTTCTTCTCCAAGTGGGTGCTGCTGGCTGCTTTCACCCAGCTCTCCACTGTGACTCTGACTGCCCCGGAAGGAAGGGCCCTGTAAATCTCGTGGCCTCTGTGTGTGCTTCAGTTATGGCCTGATCACGCAAATTTGTCTTTTTGACTCTAGAAGCTTAACAGTTACAAGCTTCTTTTAATCAATAATCCAGGGAATGAACAATTTTAAGTTCCAGCCTGGAAGCTTCTGCCTGATGAGAAGAAATCAGCACATGCATTTTCAGTCCTCAGGTCCTACTGTAACTATTTTGGGGCGGGGGGGCTCATCTTTACTTCCAAATGTTAGCATGTAGCTCTTCTGTGCAGTTACCCAGGGCAACTGGCCTGGTCAAAGGAAAGTAAAAGCTTTAATTAGGAGACAAGGAGATGCCTCCCAGCGACGTCTAAGTTGTCCGTTTTTTTAAATATAGAACTTCCGACATCAGGGCTGCTGCTTGCGCAGGGGACATTTGTATTTGGTTTTGTGGAGCTTGGGGGTACTTTGCTTTGGGGCCACATATGCCTTTCAATCTGAGTTTGGTCAGCTTTTCATTCTCAACAGAAACTAAAGACTTATTTACTGGATTTATAGCAATAAATAAAGAAGATTGGAAAGGGGCCGGGCTTTTAGTTTAGATGTCATTTCATTTTTCTTTCCCAGTGGTTTACAACTAAACACAGTGTCCAGATATGTTTATAGACTCTGGTCTTGGAGTTCTTTGATGAGGAAAGGCAATTTATAACAGTCAAATGGGCCTTTCAACCTTATCGTATGAAATGAAAACCAAAATTTTGGAAGGGAGCTGATGTAATGAAAGCTTTCATGTTCCTCATCTGCTTCACAGCTTTTCACCACCAGGGAATAAAGATAGCAGACTTGGGGACTGTCAGATGCTTTGGGGGTTTCCATTCAGAAAGGTAATGAGGTAGATGGGTTTTATTTCTCCTTCCTCTCCTTTGAGCATCTGAATCAGTACTGATTGAGTTGCTTCCAAGAGTTGAGTCCATTCTGGGATTGACAATAAACATACAAACCTCCCCCTACCCCATATTTTTTTTTGCATGGTCATGTAACCAAGGCAGCTGACTGTTTAAAACTGGAAACAGAGAGAAGTCACAGATGAAAAACAGGACGTATTAATTTAGCTTTACAAATGTGCCCTTTCCAAGGCCAGAATTACTCACTCCCTGGCAGCTCACAGTGTGGGACCTGGGTCTGCTCAAATGCCATGGCTTTAGCGTGTCCTTTCCGTTTGGTGTGGGATGCTCTAGATGAGTGACAGGTTCCAACTCAGCAGAGACATCCAGATGCAATTAGAATCCTCACGGATTTTAATTATTGTGGGAAAGCAAGCACAACTTAGCCATGCAAGGAAATATGGCCATCCTTAGTGTCCCTAAAAGTAACGTGTCCACTTGTATGCAGAGAAAATGTCCTCATTTTTGGTGTATTTTGAAGGAGGAGTATTAAAACTGAATTATGTAAAATGCTAGAGAACCTTTTTCAGTATTCTTTTTATTTTATTATTTATCGAAGTATAGTTGATTTACATTGCTGTATTAGTTTCAGGTGATAGTTTCACAGCAAAGTGATTCAGTTATATATATATATATGTGTGTGTGTGTGTATTTTTCTTTTTCAGATTCTTTTCCCATATAGGTTTTTTAATCAAATATTGAGTAAAGTTCCTGTGGTATGCAGTAGGTACTTATTATTTATCTGTGTTCTACATGATAGTGTGTATGTGTTATTCCCAAATTCCTAATTTATCCCTCCCCTCCATATTTCAATATTCTGTGATCAAGAAATCAGAACCTGATCTAGCTT